TAAATCAAAACCTGATAAAGCGTGTGACATGACTAATCAGGCTGCATTTGCCCCTTCGCTGCTGGGGAGCCGAGGGCTTAGGCGGAGGTCCCATGGCCCTTAGATAGCAGGTGACTACATCGGCCACAGGGGTTTCCCTAGAAATTCACTATGAGTGGTTTAGGGGTGTCGTCTCACAAGAAAAAAGGTGCTGCGTGAGTTGTCTAGAAACTGCCAAGCCAACCTACAGTGCTTTCTAGATTGTAGGTTTACGGGAAGTCGTTTAGGGAAGAGAGTGAGGGAGTTTGTGATACATATTAGGGAGATTAAGCCAGGCGCGGTGGCTCATGCCTGTAATCCCAGCACTTTGGGAGGCCAAGGCAAGTGGATTGCTTGAGCCCAAGAGTTTGAGACCAGCATGGGCAACACAGTGAGACTCTGTCTCTATAAAAGAACAAAATATTAGCTGGGTGTGGCGGTGCATAATCGGTGGGCTGCGGGGGAAGGATCACTTGAGCCCGGGAAGTCAAGGTTGCAGTGAGCAGTGATCACACCACTGCACTCCAGCCCGGGCCACAGTGTGAGACCCTGTCTCAAAAAAAAGCATTAGGGAGATTATCTTGCAGCTGTGTTTTCGAAGTAAGGAGACTTTTCTTACTTACATTGTGTGTCTGAAGACGTTGGTTTTGCAGGGGAAGGCAGGTAAGGAAAGCTTGTCATCAATATCCTGTAAGCTTTCAAATGAAATTAATGTCTCAAATCCTCTCCCAATTAAAACGCTCATCTCACAGCCACCGAGAGCAGGTCAGAGGGGAGGAAATGGGACCTGCTCAGACAAGTTTCCTGCTGTCACCTTGGCCCTTCATCCCACAGTACTAATGTGAAAAAACGAGGGAGGAATCAGGAAACGCTGAAAAAAAAATGGGTTTCCAGATCACGACCTCTCATCCCTAGCACCCTTGACGTGTTGGACTGGGTGACCCTTGGTTATGGGGGCTGTTCTGGGCATTGTAGGGTGCTTGGCGGCATCCCTGGCCTCTGCCCACTACATAGCAACAACGGTACCCCCTCCCGTTGAGAGTGGGGGTTTTGAGACCATCAAAAATGTCTCCACATATCAGCAATGCCCTTGGGGAGCAAACGCGCCACGATGGGGACCAAATTCTCCAGACTCAGAGCGGCTGGAGTCACCTGGGCTCTCCCGCTTACTGTGACGCTGGCTTCCCTATGTCTCAGTTTGCATATCCGTAAAATGGGCATAATCTTAGCATCGATCTCATCGGGTCACTGTGTAAAGCAGGTAGATGTATGTTTGGTGAAAGTAACCCCTTAAAGGTACCAAGGCCCCAGACCAAACCTAGCCTCACATACCAGAGAGGGGAGAACGTTTTTGTCTTTGATGCATTCCTTCATCCTCGTAGCCTACCCCAAAGGAATAACCAAACACATAGACACACATCTACATAAGCGCTTTAACCAAAAATTATGAATCCAAAATTTTAAAACAACTGAAAACAGCCCAAAGGTTCAACAGTGAGACAGTTACTAAATGCATAACGATACATTCATATGATGAAATGCGACACGGCCTCTATATATCGCCTGGGGAACTACTATTATACAATGTTAAGTGACAAGAATTCACACAAACGACATGAACAGCATGCTTCTAAATTTTTTGTTTGTAAAATAAAACGTCACTAGTTGTTATTTCTGTGTGGTGAACGTACAGGTGGGTTTTATAATTTACTTATAAAATTTCTACCGTAAACTTGTATTCATTTAAACAATTAGAAAACGAAAGGCTATAAGAATTTGTGTCCCAGGCTGGGTGTGGTGGCTCATGCCTATAATCCCAGCACTTTGGGAGGTCAAGGCGGGTGGATCACCTGAGATCAGGAGTTCGAGACCAGCCTGGCCAACGTGGTGAAACCCCATCTCTACTAAAAATACAAAAATTAGCTGGGTGTGTTAGCACGAGCCTGTAATTCCAGGTATTTGGGAGGCTGAGGCAGGAGAATTGCTTGAACACAGGAGGCAGAGGTTGCAGTGAGCTGAGATTTTACCGTTGCACTTCAGCCTGGGAAACAAGAGTGAAACTCCATCTCAAAAAATAATTAAAAAAAAAAGAATTGTGTCCCTTCAGAATATGTAAGGGAGGAATTTTTTCTAACTTTTTAGAAGTGGAAAGGGAGGCCTGGAGTGCTGGCTTATGCCTATAATCCCAGCAATTTGGGAGGCCAGGGCAGGTGGATCACCTGAGGTCAGGAGTTCGAGACTAGCCTGGCCAACATGGTGAAATCCCATCTCTACTACTAATACAAAAATAATTAACTGGGCATGGTGGCACACACCTGTAATCTCAGCTATTCAGGAGTCTGAGGCAGGAGAATTGCTTGAACACGGGAGGCAGAGGTTGCATGAGCTAAGATCGTGCCATTGCACTCCAGCCCAGGCAACAAGAGCAAAACTCTATCAAAAAACAAAACAAAATGTAGAAGGGGAGAGGATGAGGGAAGGGAGGATAAGCTGAGGGAGAAGCCATATCTAGGAAATAGCTTTTCTGCCGTAAGTGCTGGGCCAAGTACCAAATGTAGGAAAGAGATGCAAAGGAATACATTGGCTTCCCCAGGGCTGCAGTCAGAAAGCACCACAAACCAGGTGGCCTCAAACACCAAACCACAGACATTTAGCGTCCCATGGTTCTGGAGGCTGGAAGTCAGAAATCACAGTGCCAGCAGGGCACGCTTCCGCTGCAGGCTCAGGGAGGCCCCCTGTGCCTGCGCAGCCTCCGGTGGCTTCTGACAGTACAACTCTCATCTCCGCCTCTGTCTGCGGACAGCCTCCTTTGCTGTCTCTCTCTGTTACCTCCTCTTCTTACAAAGACACCAGTGATTGGATTTCGGGTCCACCCTAAATTCAAGATAATTTCACCCAGAGATCCTTCACTAATTTTAACTACAGAGACCCTATTTCCAAAAAACGTCACATTCTAAGGTTCTAAGTCGACAGGAATTTGGCGGGGCGGGGTGGGGGGCACACTATTCGACCCACCTCATGGGAAATCTGTTTTTTTTTTATTGTTTAAGGCATCACAGATAGCCACATGGCAACAAATATTGACACAAAAGTATGAAGGGACACAGAGAAAAGCAAGCTTCCACCAATTCCCGGCCCTTACGCTCGTCACTGTCACTGCCATTAGATTTTTTTTTCCTGTGGAAGGGGACAAGGTCTCACTATGTTACCCAACTTTTTTTGTATTTTTAGTAGAGACAGGGTTTCACCATGTTGGCTGGGCTGGTCTCCAACTTCTGACTTCAAGTGATCCCCCTGCCTCAGCCTCCCGAGTAGCTGGTATTACAGATGCAAACCACCACGTCTGGCTACTTTCCTCCCACCTCAGCCTCTCAAAGTACTGGGATTAAAGGCATACACTAGAAGGGCACGGTGGCTCATGCTTGTAATCCTAACACTTTGGGAGGCAGACGGGGGCAGATCCCTTGAGGTCAGGAGTTCGAAACCAGCCTGGCCAACATGGTAAAACCCCATCTCTACTAAAAATACAAAAAAATTAGCCATGTGTGGTGGTGGGTGCCTGTAATCCCAGCTACCAGGGAGGCTGAGGCAGGAGAATTGCTTGAACTCGGGAGGCAGAGGTTGCAGTGAGCTGAGATAGTACCACTGCACTCCAGCCTGGGCGATAGAGCGAGACTCTGTCTCAATAAAAAAATAAAATAAAAGGCATAAAGCACCACACCTGGCCTAGAGGCTTGCCTATACAGTCACATACATCTTTTATGTGTACAAATGGACCCAGCCTTTTAATTTGCCAATGCATATGGGAGACCCTTCCACGTCTGTTCATGTGGATTTGCCTCCTTTGGTTTAATGGCTGCGTAAGATATCAGTGTTCGGTAAACCATAGTTTATTTAACCAGTCCACTTTAAGTGGAAATCTAGGTGGTTTTCAGTTTTGTTTTGTTTTGGTTTTTACTATTAATAATGTTGCAGTACTTATTTTTTGTATTTGCCTGCCACTTTTTTTTTTTTTTTTTTTTTGAGAGTTTCGCTCTTGTTACCCAGGCTGGAGTGCAATGGCGTGATCTTGGCTCACTGCAACCTCCACCTTTTTTGCAGGGGGTTCAGGCAATTCTCCTGCCTCAGCCTCCTGAGTAGCTGGGTTTACAGGCACGCGCCACCATGCCCAGCTAATTTTTGTATTTTTAGTAGAGACGGGGTTTCACCATGTTGACCAGGATGGTCTCGATCTCTTGACCTCGTGATCCACCCGCTTCAGCCTCCCAAAGTGCTGGGATTACAGGCGTGAGCCACTGCACCCAGCTTTTGTTTTTTTAACGGAGTCTCTCTCTGTCGCCTAGGCTGGAGTGCAGTGGCACAGTCTCGGCTCACTGCAATGTCTGCCTCCTGGGTTCAAGCAATTCTCCTGCCTCAGCCTCTCGAGTAGCTGGGGCTACAAGCATGCCACGCCACGCCTAGCTAATTTTTCTTTTTGTTTTTTTTTTAGTAGAGATGGGGTTTCATCATGTTGGCCAGGATGGTCTTGATCTCCTGAACTCGTGATCCACCCACCTTGGCCTCCCAAAGTACTGGGATTACCGGCATGAGGCACTGCGCCTAACCTGCCTGCCACTTTTTAAAAAAAGTTTCTATTTTAAAATAAGTATAGATTTACATGCAGTTATAATAAATAATACAGAGAGATCCCATAGACCTATTATTGAGTTTTCCCCAAGTTTAGTGTTCTGCAATATTCTCACATGTAGATGTTTGTAACTACCACCAGTCACGACCCAGAACAGTTCCATCACACAGGTCCCTCTTGCAGCCACAGCCACTTCCCTTGCCTGTACGATTTTGCCCAACCTTTCAGTTCCACCTTTTTTTGAGTCACTGTTTCAGATTTATCTCTAAGCAACCTCCAATGTACTTGCTTTCTGAGCCAATATGAGGGCCCTTTCCTTGTAAGACTGTATTTTTATCCTATCTATAATTATGAAAAATGCAGAAACCAGTTGCTCATGAACATTTATTGAGCTAGGCATTTTACTAGCTATTTTACTTATCGATAGGTTATTTCTCATGATCTCAAACTAGTTCTCTTATCTGAGAAGAGAAACGTACAATGGTGTCTTAAACATCTTGAAATCCCGGAACAGCTAAGTGATAGAAAGGGGCTTTGAATTGACTTTTCCACTCCATCCCCATACTCATGAGAAGGCCTGTTTTCTCCTCTAGAAAGGTGGTACAGCGTCTCTTCCCAGCCAGAACACCCGCCGTTCTGAATATGAAGAGGATCAGTGACATGCCTTTGAACTCCACAAAAGCAGAGACATCTCCACCAGACCAAGGTATGTTTTCTTCCATTCCAGCCATTGTCCCTGGCAGGGAAGCAGAATCTTTGTGAGATAAAGATGGAAAGCAAGATTCAGAATGTTGAAAAATACAAGGAGACACAAAGACTGTCAATCACATTCAAATGTTACACGCTGGATTCCAAAATGCCATTCCCTGTTAGTTCTCTGGGTGCTTCACCAGCTGCTCCTGTGTTCTGTCTCTTGTTCTTCCTCCTCTCTTCGCTCAGCTCCCGCTGTTGGAGTGCTCAGGGCCCAGTCTTTGCACTGCCCTTTGTCTCTGCTCTTATTGCTCTTTCCCTGCGTGTCTCATCCAAGTCATGACTTCAAGTTCCTTCTGCACCGACAGCTCCCAAGTGTGATCTCCAGCCAGAAAAAGACTCAACATCATATCACTGGGCAGGCAAGGGTTGCCTAACAGGTTTCTCAAACTTAACCTCCTCCCCGCTGAACTCTGTCACACCCCATGACAAACACACATCCTGCCAAAAAACCTTCAACCCTTCCCGCCGCAGCAAATGGGATCTTCATTGTAACAGTTGTTTAAGGCCCCAAACGTGACGTCATCCTTGAATCTGCTCTCTCACCTCGCACATGTGCTGGTCAAACTTGTGGATTCTTGCAACTCTAGCTGCTGTCCTCACCCCGACCAACCGGGTCCAAGCTGTCACCACCTCCTGCTCCAGCTACTGTAATAGCTTCCTCTCTTGAGATTCGTGAAATAATAAAAATAATAAATAATACAAATTATATATATATTTAAAACTATATATATATGTAAACTGGTCCCTGGCCCCAGTTCCTGACATAGAGTTCCTAAAATCCTTGTAGATAGAGGGACTGGGGGACTCTTTTTTTTTTTTTTTTTTTCTGAGACGGAGTTTCGCTCTTGTTACCCAGGCTGGAGTGCAATGGAGTGATCTCGGCTCACCGCAACCTCCACCTCCTGGGTTCAGGCAATTCTCCTGCCTCAGCCTCCTGAGTAGCTGGGATTACAGGCACGCGCCACCATGCCCAGCTAATTTTTTGTATTTTTAGTAGAGACGGGGTTTCACCATGTTGACCAGGATGGTCTCGATCTCTTGACCTCGTGATCCACCCACCTCGGCCTCCCAAAGTGCTGGGATTACAGGTGTGAGCCACCATGCCTGGCCTGGGGGACTCTTTTATTCTATCTTAGTCTGTTTTGTGCTGTTATAACAGAATACCACAAACTGGGGAATTTATAAATAAAAGATATTTATTTCGCACAGTTCTGGATGCTGGAAAGTTCGATATCAGGGTGCCAGCATCTGGCAAGGGCCTTCTTGCTGCGTCATCCCATGGCAGAGGGCAGAAGGGCAAGAAAGTGTGTGTGAGAGAGGCGAGGAGAGGAGACTGAACTCTGCTATGACTCTCAATACTCACACCAATTTACATCTTCTGCGAGTATGTAAAAAAATATGCGAGAAAGGACAAAATGTGCGAGTCCTTTCCTCCACACCAAAGTTCTCCACTGCTTGATAAGAACAAACTTGGCGTCCTACAGTTTAACTCAGTTCTGACACTGTCTCCTTGGAGACACCGTTTAGATCCCACAGGTTAAGGACTCAGTCCCATAAGACTGCCTCTCCTTCAGACACCAACTGTAAGTGGTGGGTCCCCAGGTTACCCACAACTCTTGTTCAACTTGGTGATAAATGGAAGATTCCCATGAACCCCTTCTCAGTTTCAACAATTTACTAGAGCAGCTTGCAAAACTCAGGGAAACATTTATTTGCAATGACCAGTTTATTATAAACGACACAACCCAAGAATGGCCAGATGGAATTGATCCACATGACAAGATATGGGGGAAGGGGCATGGAGCTTCCATGCCCTCTCTGGGCACACCACCCTGCAGGTACCTCCTTGTGTTCATCAACCCAGAAGCTCTCTGAACCCTGTTCTTTTGGGTTTCTGTGGAGGCTTCATTACACAGGCATGATGGATTAAAGTAACTATGGGCCATTGGTGGTTAACTCAATCTCCAGTCTCTCTCCTCTCCTGGAACTCAAGAGGTAGAGCTGAAGGTTCCAACCCTCAAATCACGTGGTTGGTCCCGCAGACAACCAGTCCCCACATCTTTGGAGGCTTTCTGAAGTCACCTCATTAACATAAGGTCGGGTTGTGGCTAAAATGGTTAACAACAGATGCTCTTTTCACTTTTATTGCTCTTATCACTCAGGAAATTCCAAGGTTTTTAGGAGCCCTGTGCGAGAAATGGGGATGAGAACTACACACACACACACACACACACACACACACACGCATATATAATTATCCTTGTAAATCACAGTATCACACATATTATGTTCTTGGAAATGTAATTTGTACAAAGGGGACTTGTAAATTACTGTTTTGTATGGTGAAAATGATGCTTCAACCATTAAAGTTCATGTGTTCATAACTGCGGAGAGAAAACAGAATACCCTACCCCCAGGGATGCCTTTTTGGCATGGGGATTCTTGAGGTGAAGGCAATTAAGAAGAAACAGATGCAGGAAGCCTCTCTGTCCTCTCTCTATTTGCCTAAAGGCGGGATCTAAATTTACAAAGGTCTTTCTGTTTAGGAGAATAAAGGTTAACCATTGAGAACAACTTTAGACCCTTATGGGCCAAAGGAAGCTGCACAACACACTTTACTGACTAGTCTCTTTTTCTTTTATTATGATACTTTAAGTTCTAGGGTACACGTGCAGATCAGTGTGGAAGACAGTGTGGCAATTCCTCAAGGATCTAGAAACAGAAATACCATTTGACCCAGCAATCCCATTACTGGGTATATACCCAAAGGATTAGAAATCATTCTATCACAAAGACACATGCACACGTATGTTCATCGTGGCCCTGTTTACAACAGCAAAGACTTGGAACCAACCCAAATGCCCATCAGTGATAGACTGGAAAGAAAATCTGACTAGTCTCTATCATTCATTTCCCGTTTATTCATCTACCCACAGTTTGGTGGCCCTGAAGATGCAAAGTCTTTTTTCTTCATCTTGTCACTTCTCTAAAATTGTATTGTTCTTTGTTGAAGGTGGCTATACAGGCAGGGAATTCTAAGCCACTTCTTTGAGAATTACTTATTTTCTAGGTGTCTCCCACATGCACCTGAGAGGTACATATTAATCAACTTCTGTTTTTTCTCTTATTAATCTGTCTTGGATTACAGGAGCTCTAGCTGAGAACTTAGAAGAGTAGAGGGATAATTATTTTTTCCTCTCTTACAATATCCATCCAAGGAATCACTCACCCAGGTCAAGATAGAGAACAGGAGATTTCTTTGTTCTTCTTCCTCCCAGTCAATAATCATCCCACCCAAGGGAAACCACGATTCTGATTTCTGTAACCAATTCATTTGCGTATTATTGAACTTTATATAAATGGAACCATTTGTTTGATTTCTTTTACTCAATAATAATATCTGTGAAATTATTCCACGTTGTTTAGGTATCAGTCATTTTAAAAATTGTTATTGCTATATAGTATTTTTTTTGAGACAGAGTTTTGCTCTTGTTACCCAGGCTGGAGTGCAATGGCGCGATCTTGGCTCACCGCAACCTCCGCCTCCTGGGTTCAGGCAATTCTCCTGCCTCAGCCTCCTGAGTAGCTGGGATTACAGGCACGCACCACCAAGCCCGGCTAATTTTTTTGTATTTTTAGTAGAGACGGGGTTTCACCATGTTGACCAGGATGGTCTCAATCTCTTGACCTCGTGATCCACCCGCCTCGGCCTCCCAAAGTGCTGGGATTACAGTCTTGAGCCACCGCGCCCGGCTGCTATATAGTTTTTAACTATATAACTATGCTATAATTTGTTTATTTATTCTTCTATTGATTGATGTAGTTGGGTTGTTACCAGCCCTTGGCTACGCATGGGAGGAAAACTAATTTTTTTCTCAACCCTCCTAAGTTCTTAGCTGGAACAGACTCCTGTAACCCAAGACAGATTAAAAGAGAAACCAAGCAGATGTCTATTAACATGTCTATTTCATATGTACATGGGAGAGGTCCAGGGATTAAATAACTCTCAGAGGGGTAGCTTTGAATTCCAGCTTCAATACACCTTCAACAACAAAGAGTAAATTTTTAGAGAAGTAGCAAGACAATGGAAAAGGATTTTGAGTCTCCAGGGGCAACGACTTGTGGGAAGGCAAATCAATGCCATCTTTAGCGATGAAGCTGTCCTTCCTGGTAGTGAGGAGATGAGGGACACTTTTACCTTTGTAAATTTATGTCCTGCTTTTATGCAAATAGGAAGAGGGTGGGGAACTTTTCTTGTACCCACTTATTCTCAATTGCCTTTGGCTCAAAATAATCCTTATGCCAAAGTGGCATATTTTGGGGTGTGTATGCTGCTACCCTCCAATATGTCAAAATGTATTGAACTGAGTATTTCCCTGTATGCATTTATTAAATGTAAGCTACATCTCAACATACAATTTTAAAATAATCATTTGCAAATATTTAGCGTGCTCTGTGACTGTTATTTTGATGCTGCAAAACCCGAAGTCCCTCCACACCTGAATTTCACAAGGTTTCATCATACGTGCTGTAACGTTGTTTTCCACATTCCTGTCCAGAAAATCATTTGACTCCTGAGGACACAGATTTGGTGCCACAGAGGCTGCTGGACAACCAGGCAGAGAAAGAATGCGAGAAAGAATTCGAGCAGGAATGCGAGGCTGGTGTTGGTTTGCAAAGGTAACCCAAAGAGCGTGGTCCCCAGGGAGAGGGCTGGTTCTGTTGAAACGCTGCAGGCGTTCTCACAACAAGGAACACGTGCCCTGATGGCATTAGCTGCGAAGTGGGCCTTATCTTCCCACTGGTCTCCATTATGCATATGAAAATATGTTCCCCTAGGGAAAAATACTTCACCGAGCTAGAGTAAATATTTTTGAGAGCAAGTCAACATGGAGTCAGGCGCACAGCATTGAGCAGTAGGACTCCAAAGACGGAAATTGCTCCATTCTGGGTTCTCATCTCTGTAAATCTCTTGGAGGCAGGAACTCCATTTCTTCAGCTCATACACCACCAAGGGAGGAAGTCCTTTGGTGTTAACAAGTTAATGAATTTAAGCCCAATTATCTGTAAATCAGCAGATGTGCCACCTCCAGCCACCTGCAGAACGTGTGCAAGTAACAAATATTTGCTGAGTGAGTTCGGGGAACTGTATGTGTAGTATCTCATGGAACTGGACTGGATGTTATCCAGTGCCAGTAGGCATCACCAGAGGATACAGGATGTACTGGGGCAGAGATGGCCACACGTGAGATGATTGGTTTAATTAAGAAACACACAGAGTCAAGCTTTCATTACTTATCAACCACGCTAAAACCCAAACTTTACAGTTAATGCATAGTGGTGTTGTTGATTTTGGCAGCCTGCATATCTATTGTCTGTTGCCTTTTGTCCAGCACTCCTTGAGGAAACAGAGAGATAAGGGGGCCTAAACTATGGGATCTTTTAAGTCTAGGGTTGTTTGTCAGGGCCACCCCCCTTGCCTTCCTCCCACCCCTTTCCCACTGCAAGCCCTGCTGACCTTCTGCTCTGTTAACTGATTCACATCTGTAGTTAATGGATAACTGGGCCCAAATTTATTAATTCATTAACACTTAAAACATATACTCAATGGTATACTTTGTTTCTAATCTTTCCCATTGAGGAATTGTGTGTGTGGGTGTGGAGACAGAGATTTAAAAGATAAATACATTTATGGACAGACATATATGTCAATGAGGAAGCCTTGACACCAACTGACAGATGAAAGGAAGGGCAGAAAGCACCGAGTTTAGGTCTCAGAGCCCACGCAAAGCTCCATCTTCACCTTGCATGTTCCTTGGGGAGCGTCCTCTTTTCTCCCTGGGCTTGAGGACTCCACTGAATCATAAAGGAGACGGCCCAGATCTTCTCCAGGGCTCCCTCCAGTTCTGATGTTCTCCTTTGGGCCAGGGCATCTGTGATCACCAGGCCCCCTGGGCTTGCCCTGAAGGAAATGCACAAGTGGCACCTTGCATGAGAAAATGCCCCAAGCGGTAGGCTTTGCTCTCACCCTGATGCAGCTTTCCCTTGAAGGTCAAAGCCAACTGGGCTGGCAAAGGTCCCTTCCTACTTCGTCCTGTGAAATGTTGGAGGAAGAGGGGCCTGGGTCTTTTTGTCCCAAACTTCTTCCATGAAGGACCAATCCCATCTGCTTGCAGGGTCAAGTAAAGCTGACCAAGAGCAACGAGGGCATTTAGGACATGAATGATAATTTATCTCAACTCGCAATGTACAGCTTCTGATGGAAGCCAAATTCAAGGTCATCAGAATGGAGGATGCATGATGCAATGTGGCCCCCTCCAGGCTCCTACTCACTTCTACACATCTGGGATGCTCATCCCCGCCCACCACCTTGTCTTCTCTTTCTCCTGCTTTCCCAGGTTTCTCCAGCCATTGTTCCCAAGTTTCTTTTTCTTTCTTTCTTTCTTTTTTTTTTTTTTTTTTGAGACAGAGTCTTGCTCTGTCGCCAAGCACCAGGCTGGAGTGCAGTGGTGATCTTGGCTCACTGCAACCTCCGCCTCCTGAGTTCAAGCAATTCTCTTGCCTCAGCCTCCCAAGTAGCTGGGACTACAGGCGCACGCCACCACGCCCAGCTAATTTTTGTATTATTAGTAGAGACGGGGTTTCACCATGTTGACCAGGATGGTCTCGATCTCTTGACCTCGTGATCCGCCTGCCTCTGCCTCCCAAAGTGCTGGGATTACAGGCGTGAGCCACCGCACCGGAGTTCCCAAGTTTCTTATCTTGAATAGGGTTTTAACATTTCCTTACTGCCCCTCCTCTGTGGCAGTGCCGTGCTTTCTGTGAACAAGGCTGAAAACATGCCTCAGGACTAATCTGCCTTCCCCATTCCTTGGCCAAGGCTGGGGTGACTCACATTTGTCCCTCCACATGCCCCTTTTATGTGTTTCTTTTCTCCATGGAACCAGTAGCTTTCAGTGAAGGTTGAACTCCTCTATGACACTCCAAGAATTTTCAGGGGATTTTGAAGGGAGGTACAGGGAGGACTCAAAGTTGAGAGTGGCGAGAATATCCAAGAGCCACATGGATTTTCCCAGCTGGGAAGCTGAAGCAAAATCTTTATTTCACTTTTCCTCAGGGACGAGGATGATGCTTTTCTGTGTGAAGATGTGGAGCTACAAGATGGAGATCTGTCCCCCAAAGAAAAAATATTTTTAAGACAATTTCCCAGAATGAGAGAAGATCTAAAAGGTAACATCGACAAGCTGCGTGCCCTCGCAGAGGATATTGACAAAACCCACAAGAAATTCACCAAGACTAAGTTGGTGGCCAACTCCACTGCTGTCGTCTCTGGGGTGGTGAGCCTCCTGGGTTTAGCCCTTGCCCCAGCAACAGGAGGAGGAAGCCTGCTACTCTCCGCCACTGGTCAAGGTTTGGCAACAGCAGCTACGGTCACCAGCATTGTGAGCGGTTTGCTGGAGCGCTCCCAAAATAAGAAAGCCCAAGCTCAGGCTGAAGACATACTGCCCACCCATGACCAGGAGGACAAGGAAGCTGCGGAAGAGAAGGCAGACTATGTCGGAGTCGCTATAGACATTATCTGTCACGTTAACAACACCATGAAGAACGCCAAACACAACGTCCGTGCATTTCAGAAAATCAGAGCCAACCCACGCTTGGCCAATGCCGCCAAGCGTCTTCTGACCACTGGCAAAGTCTCCTCCCGGAGCACCGCACAGGTGCAAAGGGCCTTTGCAGGGACAACACTGGCAATGACCAAAAATGCTCGCATGCTGGGAGGCACGATGACCACCTTATCCCTTGGCCTTGACTTGGCCGCTCTCTCAAGAGAATGGAAGCACCTGAAGGAAGGAGCGAGGACAAAGTTCGCGGAAGAGTTGAGAGCCAAGGCCTCGGAGCTGGAGATGAACCTCACAGAACTAACCCAGCTGTACCAGAGCTTGCAGCAGAAAGTGAGGTCAAGGGCCAGAGTGGTGGCGAAGGTTCTAACGGGGACCTGTGAAACCAAGGCTTACTGGAAGGGGTTAAGGGAGCATGTGTGGATATTTGTGTGTCTGTGTGTGTGTGTCTGTGTGTATGTCATGTTTACATGAATGCACCTCAGGACACGGGTATACAATGGCCTTGGAGGCCCAAACGGTATCAAGTACATCTTGGAGATGAGGGTGCCTGTCCTGGACACACGTGGGCGTGCCTTCTGTTTCTCCCTCAACACTTCTTAAGGCCCATGTGCTGGGAAAAGGGTCTTCCCAGTTTGTTTGTTTCTTTGCTTTGAGACGGGGTCTGTGTCACCCAGGCTGGAGTGCAGTGGCGTAATCTCTGCCTCCTGAAAGCAAGCAGTTCTCCTGCCTTCGCCTCCCAAGTAGCAGGGATTACAGGCACACACCACCAAGCTCTGCTTTTTTTTTTTTTTTTTTTTTTTTCATTTTTAGTAGAGACAGGGTTTGACCAGTTTGGCCCGGTTGGTCTTAAATTCCTGACCTTAACTGATCTATTGACCTTGGCCTCCCAAAGTGCTGCGATTACAGGAGTGAGCCACTGTGCCCAGCTGAGTCTTCCCAGTTTTAAAAAAAGGACACTGAACCACAGGGGGAGTTAGGAACTAAATTGCCTTCTCCTTCTAATTCATATGTTGAAGTTCTAAACCAAAATGTGGCTGTATTTAGAGATGGAGCCTTTGGGAGGTAATTAGGCTTGAATGAGGCCATCAGGGTGAGGGCCTAACATGATGGAATTGACCTCCTTATAAGAGGAGCAGAAACACAAGAGGGCCTCCCCACCCCTGCTGCGCAGCTGCACTGAAGAAAGGTTATCTGAGGACACAGCAAGAAGGTGGCCGTCTGCAGGGCAGAAGAAGAGAGCCCTCACCAGGAAGTAAATGAGTCAGCAGTGCAATCTGGGGCTTCCAGCCTCTAGAACTGTGAAACAATACATTTCGTGGTGTAAGCAACCCAATAGTAGTTTGTTACTATTTTGTGATAGCCACCAAAGATGACTAAGCCAGGGAGGTTATGTCACTTGCCAAGTGTCTTAGTCTGTTTGTGCTGCTATAACAAAATACCTTAGACCAGGTAATTTACAAACAACAGAGATGTATTGCTCACAGTTCTGGAGGCTGGGAAGTCCAAGATCAAGGCACCAGCAGATTCCTATCTGGTGAAGGCTCACTCTCTGCTTCACAGATAGCACCGTCTGGCTGTATCCTCACATGGCAGAAGGGGCAAACAAGCCCCCTTGGGCCTCTTTTATAAAGGTACTAATTCCATGGCCTAAAGGCAGAGTCCTCATGACTCTATCACCTACCAAAAGGCTCCTTTTCTTTATACTGTTGGAGGGGCAGAAGGAACTTCCTTTCTAGACCTCGAAGGTTTAAGAATTTGAATCTATGAAACAAGCTGACAATAGACAGATTAACAGAAGAAAAGCCTTATAAATTTTTTAATGTGAGCCAGATGGCAAAAGCTTAAATAGCACCCCAAGCTACAGGAAAAGGGGCCGCTGATGGGGAGGTGGGGAGGTAGTGACACAAGCCTTGGGAGGGGGGAGGGGGAGGAAGTGTGTGGTGAGCAAAGTTTGTCTTATTACACAGATAAAGTGTCTCAGCTAACAGCCCTTAGAAGAATACAGTCATTGGCCAGGCACAGTGGCTCAAGCCTGTAATCCCAGCACTTTGGGAGGCCAAGGCAGGTAGATCACTTGAGGTCAGGAGTTTGAGACCAGCCTGGCAAACATGATAAACCCTGTCACTACTATAAATACAAAAATTAGCCAGGTGTGGTGGCAGGGCACTCACTTATAATCCCATCTACTTGGGAGGCTGAGGCAGGAGAATCACTTGAAACGAGGTCACTGTGAGCCAAGATCATGCCACTGCACTCCAGCCTGGGTGACAGAGCAAGACTTCATCGAACAAGAAGAAGAAGAAGAAGGAGGTAGAGGAGGAGGGGGAGAAGGAAAAGGAGGAGAAAGAAGAAGAAGAATACACTCATGTATCTCTTCTTTATTTTTTATTTTATTTTTATTTTTATTTTTAAAGACGGGGTTTCACCATGTTGGTCAGGCTGGTCTTGAACTCCCGACCTCAGGTAATCCGCCCGCCTTGGCCTCCAAAGTGCTTGCATTACAGGCGTGAGCCACCACGCCCGGCCTTACAGGCATGTATCTCTTGGTGATGAGATTACATTCTGAGAAATTGGTCAACAGGCAATTGCATCCGTTGTGCGATTATCGCAGAGTGTACTTATACACACCTAGATGGCATAGTCTACTACACGCCTAGGCTATATGGGAGGGCCTATTGCTCCCGGGCCACACACCTGTACGGCATGTGACTGCTGAACGCCGCAAGCAATTGCAACACAAAGGGAAGTATCTGTGTATCTAAACATATGCAAACAGAAATAGGAAAGTAAACATATGGCACAAAAGATAAGAATGGGCTCTCCTGTATAGGGCACTGTCTATGAATGGAGCCTGCGGGGCTGAAAGCTGTTCCAGAAGAGTCAGCGAGTGAATGTGAAGGGCGAGGACATCATTGTGTATTACCGTAGGCTTTATAAACACAGCACACTTAAGGTACACTAAATACATTTAAAAAAAAAATTCTGAAACGATGTATTTTTGTGAATGAGAGTTGGCATGTCAAATGCATCCTCTAGAAAAATAGTGTTATAGTCTTAAGATTTGTTTTCTAAAGTTGATACTGTGGGTTATTTTTGTGAACAGCCTGATGTTTGGGACCTTTTTTCTTCAAAATAAACAAGTCCTTATTAAATCAGGAATTTGGAGAAAAATCACAAAAAAAAAAAAAAAAAAAAAATTCTGGCTGGGTGCGGTGGCTCACACCTGTAATCCCAGCACTTTGGGAGGCCGAGGCGGGCGGATCACGAGGTCAAGAGATCATGACCATCCTGACCAACATGGTGAAACCCCGTCTATACTAAAAATACAAAAATCAGCTGGGTGTGGTGGCACACACTGGTAGTCCCAGCTACTCAGGAGGCTGAGGCAGGAGAATCACTTGAACCTGGGGGGCAGAGGTTGCAGTGAGCCGAGATCATGCCACTGCACTCCAACCTAGCGACAGAGCAAGACTCCATCTCAACAAAACAAAAAAATTCTTCCTTCAGTATATTAGGCAATAGGAATTTTTCAGGTTCACTATAATCTTATCGAACCATAATTGTACATGCAGTTGACCAAAACATTGTTATTGGACATATAACTATAGTTGAAAGAATGAGCCAAAAAAAAAAATCTATCTAGGTGTGGTGTCTTGAGCAACTTTTAATTATTTTCCTGTTCTGCAATATGAGTTAATCTTCTCTGATTGACATAGATTCTAGTAAAAGGTGTCCAGGACAATCGCCTTCCTTCTGGAGAAACTTATTAATCAAATAAGAGAACTTCAAAGAAAGCCCCTCCCTTGTGCTTTGGAAGGGAAGGGAAGGGGACAGGAATGGCCCTTCAGTCTCCTTTATTCAAAGCACCTGGCATGCCAAAGCACCCTATTTTAGGGTATCTTTTTCTGAGCCCCAAACACTACCACGTTGGGAATGTCAACTATGAAAGGAAAATATCTTGGGGCTCCAGAGTAACTAAGGAAAATTCAAGCCGGAAGATGCTTAGGGCAAACCTGCCTCACAATTGATTCAAAGTTATCCCTCTGCTCACTGAGACAGATAGATGTGTGATTGCCACCTTTGGAAAGGCTAATCAGAAACTCAGAAGAATGCCACCCTTTGTGTCTCACCTGCAGGTGACCTAGAAGCTCCCTTCCAGGCTTCCAGTCATGTCATCACTTCAAGTTGTCCCGCCTTTCCAGACTGAACCAATGTACTTCTTACATATATTGATTGATGCCTTACGTCTCCCTAAAATGTATAAAACCAAACTATGCCCCAACCACCTTGGCCACATGTCGGGACTTCCTGAGGCAGTGTTACAGGTGTGTCCTCAACCTTGGCAAAATAAACTTTCTAAATTAATTGACACCTGTCTCGTATTTTCTGGGATCGCATTTTGGAAACCATGAATGGATTCTGAGTGGAGATGCCCCTGACACTTGACAAATCTATCAGTGCTTGGTGCCAGCATGAGCTAACTTTACGGTTCAAACCAATAGGACAATTTGTTGAAGTCTGAGAGGATTCCCTCCAGAAAATCCCTGATCTCTTAAAATCTGGTAGCGATCTAAAGTTTATTTTGCTGTACAACTCTTTTTTTGGAGTTTTACTTGCTCCCAACAAGGAAGGCAAGTTTTCCTTCTTCCATGATGATGGAAGACAGGTGATTTTAATGGAGTTTGAACTCGCTTCCAGTGGGTTTTGTTTTGTTTTTTTTCCCCTGCTTCTAGGATGGTAGAGGGCAGTCTACAGCCTGAGACACATCACTTTCGGACCCTAGACCCAAACTAGGTAAGAAACTGTTTTGGGATTCTGTCTTGCAAATTCTTTTTAAATGACTAAAGTTAGCATTTAACAACCAGCTGGTGTTAATTTCTGCTGACTCTTAGAGCGCTCAGAAATTGTATACTTTGTGTGATCCTTGTTAGTTTCGCTTAACTGTTTTGTTGTTTGTTTCTGTCTCGGTCAAATCCAAAGGGGAACCCTAAATTATGGGGAACACAGCCTCTGAAGTGGGAGAAAAACAGACCAGCTTAAGAAAAAAGAAAATATTTTTAATTTTAATGACTATAGGGGTTTTATTTGCATAAAAAGGCCACCTTTTGCTAGCCAGACCAAACTGGAAGAGCAGATGCTGAAATGGCAACATTTTGTCCTAGCTGAGATATGGTAATAAGATTTTTTACAAAGTTTTTTAAGGAGCTCAATGCTTAAAAGTCTGCTTAATTAAAACTCTAACATCCAGGATGTGTGTGTGCACGTTTGTGTTTGAAAGGCCTTCATGTTTTTGTTTTCTGTTCGTTTTTCTCTCCTAAGACCTTGTCTTTTTTTTTTTTTTTTGTAGCAAGCTTTTTTTTTTTCTTTTACTTCTCAGTTGACTGAATTGTGTTTTCACCAGATTTTTTGACTAACATCGTTATTGCAACAGAGGCTACTCTTGGGTTAAGGAAGAAGGTAGTTTAATTTTATGTTTAATTTGCTCGAAGAAAAATTTTAAAAAGCATCTCCCTCTAACACCACCAGGCTGCTTCTCTCTGTACCTTATAATGTATCACCTGGCTTGTTTCCTTTAATGTGCAAATTTAAGGCTATTTAGCTGACACCTGCCTAATGTTGTAAAACAGGTTATCAAGAATCTGGAAGTCTAAGATAGGGAAAAAAGGGGAGGGGCTTTATAAATCTATAAATGTACTTTGTTGGCATGCCCAATATGTCCTTATATGTATCTATGTGTTGTGTGCACAATGTTTTAGTACTAAAAATACATCAAAGAACTCTTAATTGGCTTAAAGAAAAATAAAAATGCTTAAATCAGATAGAAAAGATTCGTCGAATGCTTTTCAAGTTTATGTAACTTAAGTGAAATCTTTCATAAATAAACTAGCTTTAAAATTATTGGTAAAGTAATCCTAGAAATGTCTGAAGAATTTCTGGCGTACTTTTTTGTTTGCATTTTGTTTATCAAGCAGTCTTTTATACTTATCCCTGACAAATGCCATAAGGTGTCAACATTTGGCATAGGGATTACAAAACTACAAACCCAGCCCAAAACAGAATTATCTTTGCTTGTATAATTTTTAATAATTTGATATTGGTTTCACGAAAATAGCTGCACCTTGAATTTAGTAAGATTACCCTAACTTCTAACCCTATGGCCTTAGGCAGTTAGTCCACAGACAATAAGGAGGTTTGTTTTGGGAAACGACTGTTGTTGTCATTGTTTCAAAGCTAAACTATAAACTAGGTTCCTCCCAAAGTTCGTTTGGCCTATGCCCAGGACTGAACAAGGACAGCTTGGAGGTTAAGAGCAAGCTGGAGTCTGTCAGGTGAGATCATTTTTCACCATCTCAGTTGTAATTTTGCAATAGCAGTTTCATAACTTTAAATCATGACTATCAGACTTTTCATAAATAATCTAGGTAAACAATTAAAATGAAATAATTATGGAATGGGATAGATACAGACAAACCGGTCATAATTTAGAATACAAAGTCACATTAAATTAAATAATAGAGAATTCATTATTTGGGTATTTTAAAATAAATATATCTTGTAGGAAAACAGTCTTGCTTAAAAAAAAAAGTGAATGAGATTTGCCTAATGAAAAGCTTATTTCAAAGTTGTGTATAAAACAAGGTGAAAGGAACCAGAAAAATAATAAAGACATAAGTAAAGTTATAAAAATAAAGAATTTTTTCAAGGTTAAAAAGCTTAAATAAGGTTTTATTAAGAATTGGGTTTGACATCAGTAATGCACTAATGCAACTGTGTGACACTTGGCATATTTGGTATAAAAGTGATACAGGGAGCATCATCAAATATGAAATGGTGTTTGGCTTTCTTTGGGGCATATTTGTATAACTGTTACTGGTATGTGCTCCAAAATTATTTTTTGAATCTCCTATAATTGTGATATGACTTAGATATGTTATTAATAATTATAATTGTGAGAGAACGATCCAAGATGGCCGATCGCTAACATCCCGGAATTGCAGCTCTCAGGGAAGGCGCGGAGAACTAGAGGACGCCACACTTTCAGACAAAGTCTGGTCGCTCACGGAGCAGAAGATCCCCCAGTGGTGGAAACACACGAGTCGTCAGCGCGACTCTCGTGGCCGGTGCAGCAGTTCCGCCGGCACCTCGACGCGGCAGCGCTCGGCGCAGAGTAAACGGGACCGGTTTCCCTTCTGACCGAGGTTTGGAGCCCCGGGAAGGCAGAGTCGCCTACTACGGACACAAGAAGGAAGCCCGACAGGAGAATCCTGGGCAGAAAAGCACCATCAGTTTTAACACCGCTGCTCTGGCCCTGGGAACTAACAACCTGGACGTCCACTCAAGAGACCTAATCTGAAAGTTGGTAATTTCAAAGAGACAGGAGGATAAATTTACAATGACGGGAAGAAACCAGCGTAAAAAAGCTGAGAATACTCGAAGTCAGAACGCCTCTCCCTCTAAAGATGATCACAGTTCCCCATCAACAATGGAACAAGGCTTGATGGAGAACGAGCGCATCCCAATGACAGAATCACTCTTCAAGGAATGGATAATAACAAACTTCGGTGAGTTAAAAGAACATGTTGTAGCCCAACGTAAAGAAACTAGGAACTTTGAAAAAAGGTTTGATGAAATCCTATTGAGAATAGACAACTTAGAGAGGAGTATGAGTGAATTAATGGAACTGAAGAATACAATACAGGAACTCCGAGAAGTATGCACAGGTTTAAACACTTGAATTGTTCAAGCAGAAGAAGGGATATCAGAGGTCAAAGTCCAACTTAATGAAATAAAACGTGAAGAAAAGATTAGAGAAAAAAGGATAAAAAGGAGTGAGCAAAGTCTCCAAGAAATGTGGGACTATGTGAAAAGACCAAATTTACGTTTGATAGGTGTACCTGAATGCGACGGAGAGAATCCAAGATGGAAAATACCCTTCAGGATATTATTCAGGAAAATTTTCCTAAACTAGCAAAGCAGGTCAATATTCAACCCCAGGTAATACAGAGAACACCACAAAGATATTCCTAAAGAAGAGCAACCCCAAGGCACATAATCGTTAGATTCACCAGGGTTGAAACGAAGGAGAAAATACTAAGGGCAGCGAGAGAGAAAGGTCAGATTACCCACAAAGGCAAGCCTATCAGACTTACAGCAGATCTCTCAGCAGAAACTCTACAGGCCAGAAGAGAGTGGGGGCCAATATTCAACATCCTCAAAGAACAGAACCTTCAGCCCAGAATTTCATATCCAGCCAAACTAAGCTTCACAACTGAAGGAAAAATAAAATCTTTTATGAACAAGCAAGAACTCAGAGATTTTATTACCACCAGGCCTGCTTTACAAGAGCTCCTGAAAGAAGCGTTACACAAAGAAAGAAACAACCAGCATTAGCCTTTCTAAAAATACACCAAAAAGTAAAGAGCAACAACATAAAGAAGAATTTACACCAACACATGGATAAAACAGCCAGTTAACATCAAATGGCAGTAACCCTAAATTTAAATTGACTAAATTCCCAATCAAAAGACACAGCCAAAACCCAATGTCATGTTACATCCAGACCTGTTTCACATGCAAGGATACACAAAGACTCAAAACAAAGGGATGGAGAAAGATTTACCAACCAAATGGAGAGCAAAAATAAATAATAAATAAATCAAAAGCAGGAGTTGCAATTCTTGTATCAGATAAAATAGATTTTAAAGCAACAAAGATATAGTGGTAAAAGGATCAATGCAACAAGAGCTAACGATCCTAACACCCAGATAGGAGACTTAGATTCAATGAGACAGAAAATTAATAAGGATATCAAGGACTCAAATTCAGATCCAGAACAAGTAAACTTAATAAATATTTATAGAGCTCTCCACTTCAAATACACAAAATATACATTCTTGTCAATACCACATCACACCTACCCATAAGTTTAAATGAAACATTGATTGGCCATTATTAATACCCAATTTTTTTCAAAATAAAGCAATATTTCCATTTACTCTCCCTCTTTCTCTTCCTCTCCTTTACTTATTTTTTTTTTTCTTTCCTTCTCTCAAAAAAAAAGAAATCAACTTGTAAACCTCTAGATCCAGGTTGGCAATGTCTCTTTCATTGCTTGATTTCCTTTCTTCCCTTCCCTCCCTCCCTCCCTCCCTCCCCGTTTCCTCCCTTCCTTCCTTCCTTCATCCCTTCCTTCCTCCCTACTGTCCTTATTCCCTTCCTTCCTGCCTTCCTCCCCCCCACAAAAAAAAATAAATAAAAATTTAAAAAAAATAATTATAATTGTTACATAAAATTATTGTATGCCACAGAGGTAACCAAATTTCTTTGTCAAATCATATTTTTGACTGTGGCTGTCCTAAGATGTTTTGT